AGTTTATTTATTTCTTCCATGAGAGAGAGACAGAAAGTCACAGCAATAGGCTCGGCTCTTTCACAACCCCACCCCCCCGCCAGCCCAGCCTGGATCATGGGCGTGCGCACATGTGCCAGCATACAGAGGGAGGAGGCTCCAAAGCAAACCCAGGACCTTCCTTTTTAAATTTAATTTGCTAGCGAGCGTGTGCACTCACCAGAGACAGACAAAGAGAGACAGAAAGGGAGAACGCACCCCCTGGGGGTAGGGTGTAATCCCTTCTCCTCCATTCTCTTCTCAGGATCTTGGGCACATGTGCACATGAGCCCAATGTGGTTTTCAAGCCACTAGCTCTGGGATTTGCACCACACAATCGTCTCTATGGGATCCTGTCACCTTCACCACTACGCCACTGACTGGCCCAGCCCAGTACCTTACTATGGGGTTTCAGTTGCATCACCGTTGTGCACTGTGTGGTCCAGAGAGGTGACATGTAATCTTGCCCTGTCAGGATATGATCTTTGCTCTGGAGTGACTTCACAGTCAGGTTTGATGGGTAGAGAACACTGAGAAATAAAATTCGAGGTGGGAGAGTGCATTCGAAAGCATTGTATTAGATGGGACCGCCAGTGGTGTGGTGATTAAGGTGGCTGGAGCCCCCATGGCCTAGTGAGGAGTTCGAGTTCTGGACCCAGTGACTTGAAAAACATGTCATGCACATATGTACATGTACCCAAAATCCTGATAGGAGGGGGAAGATGGAGGATAAGGGATTGCGGCATGACCACACCCTATCGGGAATGCTTCCTCCCTCTCTATCTATCTCCGTCTTTCTTTAGAGAGTGCACATGCCTTCTGGCAATAAAATATATTTTTGGGGGAGGGCCAGCAGGTGGCGTGGTGGTTGAGGGTGCTGAACTCCTACATGCCTGACCACAGTTCGAATCCCAGACCTGGTGGCTTGCTTTCTGACTTTCCTTCGCTCTCTCTCCTGCCTCCAACTCCTCTTTGCCCTCCACCCCTAAAAAGAACTATCCCATACATAATAATGTGTGCATGTGTGTATACATATGTGTATGTATACACATATATGTGTATGTATACACATATGTATACACACATGTGTGTGTAAATATATATATATATATATATGTATAGATAGATAGATATTAAAGAAATTTTCATGAGATTTCTCCTTTAGTATTTGTTTGTTAGGTATTCACATCTTCCCTGGCCATCCCCAATTGACTATTTTTGATGAGAAATGTCTCCAGAAATTTGTTAATATTCTTAGCTCAATTAAAACAGTTATTCTCAACCTTGAGTGCACATTGGAATAACCTGAGAAGACTGAAAATGCTGATGCCTGGGATCTTCCCCTCCACGTTTTTGGAGCTTGGCCATTAGGCTGCTCTCAGCAGTAACCCCTGCCAGAGTCTAAGCCTTGGGGCAGAAAAATGGCCTCTTCACCAAGGTTAGCCTGACAAAACCGTTCATCTCCTCTGCGGTTTTAAGCCAAATTTTAGACTATGGAAAATTTACTTGCAGAAAATTAGGAAATGTTGGGACCAGCAGTTAGCGTAATGACTATGTCACTGGACTCCCACGTAGTCGACTGCAGTTTGAGTCCTGGACCTGGTGGCTTAAACTCACACTGGGTGCATGTGCGTGCGTGCCCAAGATCCCGAGAGGAAAATGGAGGAGAAAGGATTGCAGCGTGGTCATCCCCCATGGGGGGTGATTTCTTGCTTTCTGTCTCTCTGTCTCTCTCTGTCTTTCTGGCAAGTGCACATGCCCTATAACAAAAACCTCTCCAAAAAGAAAGAAAGAAAGAAAGAAAATTAGGAAATGTTGAGAAGTCAAAAGACAAAGACAAAGGAACCTTGATGTATTAGAAAAGAAATGCACATGTCCATCCCTGAATGGTCACTATGGTGAGGAAGATGGGGTTCTGCCAAATGGCTTTGGATAATCAAGGGTCAACCCAGAGCACATGGGAGGGGTCTACTGGACCCGAGCCACCTGGCTTCTACAGAGAGGAGGAGACATGGGAGGGAAGCTGCCAGTTGGAGTGGACATTCTACAATTTGTACATATCTCTTCTGTTTGGTAACCGATGTGTGAAACACTTCTGCATTACTTTACCCCGCCGTCCATATTGGGAAGCAGCCTGCTTCTGGACTGACGTTATACCAAAGGCCTCTTCTATTTACGTACACATAGACGTGTAGCTCATTCTCTGCAATAGAACTACATGATATTTCTTTGTACAGATGAGCTGGAATTCCTTTAGCCACTTTCTATCTATGTCAGTGCCCTTTATTTATTCAAAAATTGTTAGCCCTCTTTTAAAAAATTAAGGCTAGGGCCAGCCTGTGATGTGGTGGTTAAGGCAGCTGGATCCCACATGGCTGACCATATGGTTTGAGTCCTGGACCTGGCCACTTGAGAAGCATGCATGCCCAAAACCCTAAAGGAAGGGAGAGACGGAGCAGAAGGGATGGTGGCAGGGGGCGTGCATGTACTCTCTTTGGCAAGTTAAAAAAGTAAGGACAGGGGCCAGCAAATGGTGTAGTGGTTAAGGCGCCGGACTCCTACATGACTGATCATAGTTTGAGTCCTGGTCCCAACAGCTTGAAACTCACGCTGGGTTTGTGTGTGCCCAAAATCTTCAGAGGAGAAGGGAGGAGAAGGGAATGTGGTGTGGTCACTCCACCAGGAAGTAATTTCTTGTTTTCTGTCCCTGGCGAGAGCTCATGCCCTATAGCAAAAATTTTTTAAAAAGGATGGAAGGGAGGGATGGAGGGAGAAAGAAAAATTGGGGCTATATCTGGCCATGGTTTATAAAGAAACTGTGTTGCTCTATTATGCCAAAGGATCCCAAGTTATTATTATTTTTCATTTGTTTAGTTTTTGCTATTGTAGCCAGAGAGAGACAGGGAAGAAGGGAGTGAGAGCAAGAAGGAAAGTGAGAACTCACTTCCCGGGGAGGATGACCAACTGCAATCCCTTCTCCTCCATTCTCCTCTTGGGATTTTGGGCACACACACACACACACACATGCCCAGCACAATTTTCAAGCTGCCGGGTCAGAACCAAACCATGCAGCTTGCCATGTGGGAGCCAATACATTCACCGCCACGCCATCTGCTTCTCTCCCTTTCCTTACATTTATTTATTTGTTTTTAAAAAATTTGCTAGAAAATGCATGCTCTCCCCAGAGAGAGACAGAGAGACAGAGTGAAAGTGACAAAGTACTTCCCAAGGGAGATGGTCATGCCACATCCCTTCTCCTCCATTTCTCCTTTTGGGACTTTGGGCACCCACACACATGCACCCGGTGTGCTTCTCACGCCTCCATTCTGGGACTCGAACTGGGAGGTCAGCCATGTGCGATCCAGCTGCCTTCACCACCACACCATGGGCTGACCCTGTAGTCTTTTCCTTTAAATACTTTGATTCAAACATTTAGCATAGCCCCGCCTCCCCAGCACATCCGGTACAACTCTCCAAACACTGTTAGTCTTAGGACTAAGTTGTATGGCTGCACCCAGAAAGGAGGCCATGTAACCCTAAAGTAGCACTTCTCAAAGCAACATCCGCAGCACCCTGGGACTGTGAGAAAAGCAAATTCCGGGCTCCACCCCAGACCTGCTGACTCAGAAACTCCAGGGTGGGACCTGACCTAGCTGCCTCTGTTTCCATCATTCTGATTCCGATTCAGATGCGTGTTCTAGTTTGAGAACACTGCCTTCTGGCATCCTCTTCATTTCACTCACTTTTTTTTTTTTTCCTTTTTGCTGGAATAGTTCCCCAAGGAATATTTTTACATGAAATAAATAGGTGGTAAACTTTTAGGCCTTGTAAGTCTAAAAATACCTTTATTTTAGCATCAGACTTGATTAACGAGCCTGTTGGTTTCTAGCCTCATACACATTTTCCTTCAGAACTTTTTAAGTGTCACCTATTTGTCTTCTATTAGCCAGTGTGATTGAAGGGATGACTGGGTGCTTAGTGTCACCTTTTTGTTCTCTTGTAAGTAACGTGTTTTGTTTTTTGGTTTTTGTTTTTGTTTTTCTTTCTAGAACCACTGAAACAGTTGTTTATTATTTTGAAAGCCTGCTTTTCCCTGATTTTTTTTTTTTTCCTGTCCATCTTGTCTCTGCAGCGTGGTGGTCTGGAGTATAGCCAAAAGAGAAGCCATCTGCGGCAGCCCAGCGGCTGGCTGCCCTCAATGTCGGAAATCCCCCCGCCATTGTTTTCTCCAGGTGCCGGGATGAGATGTTCGTGACGGCTGGGAAGTACGTGTCTGCGGTCAGAGCTTCCCGAGCTTCTACATGACTCTGTTTTCCTGTGTAGAAAACGTGGTCGTTCCGAGCTGGGGGAACATGTCTTTAGTCCTGGACAAATACCTTACCTTATCATTTTCCGGGCTTTGTAGTCATTAAAAACCTTTTAAGTGTGGTGTAATGGTTTAAGGTGTTGGACTCCCACGTGGCCAACCATGGTTCGATGCCTGAACCTGGCAGCTTGCTTTCTCACTCCCCCCCCCTCTCTCTCTCTGGTGAATTAAAATAATCATCATAACAATAAGACCTTTTAAGGCGCAACCCCATAGTGAAGTGGTTAAGCTCTGTGCAGAGGGAACCAGATCTCAAGTAGCCACTGCAGTTCGAATCCCAAACCACACAGCTTGACGTACATGTTGGGTGCACGTACATGGGTGCCCCAAATCCTGACAGGATGGAGGAATGGGGGAGAAAGGATTGTGGTGTGAACATACGCTAGTGGGAGGTTCTCTCTCTCTCTCTCTCTCTCTCTTCCTTTCTCCCTCTCCTTTGCAAGCATACATACCCTCTGGCAATTGAAAAATAAGACCTTTGTAGCTGAAGGATTTTACAGGTAGCTATTTGGAAATTCGTGGGTCTTACTGACAGGATGGTATTTACCTGCTGAATTCATCTCGGGTTCTTGTTCGCAAACACATCATCTCCAGTGTACACTCACAAAGTCATTTGCACGATTGCACAGATCCGTGTTCTGGTTGGAGTTCCTTATCATCCTCTCTCGATTTAGATCTCATGAGGTGGTAGTTTACCAATGGGATCCATGCAAATGGAAGTTTTGAATGTTTGGACTATGAGGGGAGTCCCTAAAAAGTTAATGAAAAATGCATACAGGCATAACGACCAAGTTCCAAGCCCGTAACCAGGTTGGTTGGTAAGCAAATTGTTTGATAAGTGAGGAGCTTCAAGGCAGATGTCTGTGGTGTGCTGTGGCTCCATAGGGTCTGTGTTTTTCAATAGATATCACATGACACCACACTATGATAGTGTTGTCTAGGCCTACAAAAAGCATACATTAGGTAAGTGTCAGCATACAACAGGACACACCACAAGACTGTAACACAAATCTAGCATAATTCTTTTTGGTTTTGTTTTGTTTTTGGAGAAGTTTTTGCTATAGGGTGTGTGTGCTTGCCAGAAAGACAGAGAGAAACAGAGAGACAGAAAGTGAGAAATCACCCCCCCAGGGGGGAAGACTACGCAGCATTCCCTTCTCCTCCGTTCTCTTCCTGGTGGATTTGGGCACACACATACATCCAGCATGAATTTCAAGCCTCCAGGTCCAGAATTCGAACCACCATCGGCCATGTGAGAGTCCAGCACCTTAACCACCACACCACCCACTGAGCCCAAAGCTGAGAAATCTGCACGTGTAGTTGAGGTATGTTGAGCCATCCTTTCTAGCTCATCTGTGAGCTCCCTTCTGTGAAAGGTACCCATTGTTGGTTTTCTAGCCAGAGTAAAGAATCGAGGCTGCTCGACCTCTGTGTTGTTTTCTGTTCCCACCTTGTGATAGGAGGCATGCGTTTGTTCCATGGCTAATTATGAGGGAGCAGTCATCGAGAGAAAGGAAACTAGTTAACATGAAAACCAACTTCTATCAAATGGGTTGTTTTGTTTTGTTTTTTTGTTTGTTTTGTTTTTTTGTTTTAGTGTTTTTGCCAGGGGATGAATGTGTTTGCTGGAGAGACACAGAAAGAGAGGCAAAGAGAGAAATCATCCCCCAGAGCGGATGGCCACACCACAGTCCCTTCTCCTCCATTCTCCTCTCAGGATTTGGGGCATGCACACACATGTGCCCTGCATGTTTTTCAAGCTGCTGAGTCTCAAATCGCCGAGGCAGCTATGTGAGATTCAGCACCTTAACTACCACACCACCTGCAGGTCTTATCAGGACCGTGTTCTAATGCTTGAGTAGCTGGCCACAACTACCCTGTCTTCAGAGGCCCCTGGTGTGTACATGAGCGCTTCGTCCTCCCTGAAGTTTGCAGAGCATTTGGACTAAGCCTTTGTTTTATGTGGGCTTCTTGCCCTTAAAGGGCTGCTTTAGCAACAGGTATTGGTCCATTCTGATGTCTGTGGACAGCTTTTTCCCAGAAATCAAATCTTGAATTTTATACTGGAAAAAAATGTTGAAGGACAATACATACTGTCAGTTGGTTTCAATTCTACGTGACATTCCACATTAAAATTAACGTCCTTAAGATTTCTGCTATGCCACCTACATACCCTGGGTTGTCCATCACAGTCCCGATGCCGTGTTTTACATTCTATTGCCCCTTGAGAGAGCCTACAAACTCTAATATTTCAGCATCTGAAAGAAATCTACCAGGAAGGACATGGAAAAGTGCTCTCTCTTTTATTTTAATTGAGAAAGTACATTCAAATATTTATTGAACCCTCACTATGTATATAACTCTGGAGGCAAAAAAAAAGAAAAGAAAATCTGAGCTTCACTTCTTTTTAAAAAGATTTATTTATTTATTTATTTAACTTTATTTATTATTATTATTATTTTTTAAATTTGACCTGAGAGAGACAGAGAGAAAGAGAAAGTGAGAGAGCAAGCCACCAGATCTGGAGCTCAAACCACGGTCAGCCATGTGGGAGTCCAGCACCTTATCCGCCATGCCACCTGCCGGCCCCATGAACTGTACTTTTTAGTTCACTTTTGTCTTGCCATGAGAGATTGGCCAAAGTCTTTGACATCTTGAACTATGATGTTGACCTTGATATTCTTATTTAATTCTTAATTCAGATCGGCTTAACATACAATAATGAAATACCAACCATATATCAAGTCCTGTGTTAGGTGGTAACTGTTTAATTTGCTTAGTTGCATTCATCCTTCCTTGGAGACAGGCCTCTGTACTGAACTATTTCCCTTTAAAATTTCTCCATACAACTCAGTATCTTGAAAGAAGCAGATTATTCCTCCTATCTAACTAATGTCCGGTACCGTTTGATAAACATCTCCTATTGTCTATATGCCGAAGCTCCTGGCGATCACCATTTTACTGCCTGTTTCATGAGTTCATTTTTTTTTTTGAACATGAACTAACACTCCCTGTATGAGATTGTGCCGTATTTATCTTTCTGTGCCTGATTTATTTCACTTACTATTACAACCTCCACGTTTTTCCATGCTGTTACAAATGACACAGGACCAGCAGCTAGCGTATTGGCTATATTGCTAGACTCCCATGTAGTCGACCACGGTTTGAGCCCCAGACCCGGTGGCTTAAACTCACATCGGGCGCGTGTGCGTGCATGCGTGCCCAAGATCCCAAGAGGAGAATGGAGGAGAAGGGATTGCGGCATGGCCATCCCCCCTGGGGGGTGATTTCTCACTTTTTATCTCTGTCTCTCTCTGTCTTTGCAGAGAGTGCACGCACCCTATAGCAAAAACCTCTCAAAAAAAAAAAAAAAAAAAAAAAAACAGAAACAAAAAACAAAAACAAAAAGCAAAAAAACAAATGACAGAATTGCCTTCTTTAAGGCTGAACAGCGTTCTATTGTGTACACGTACACCACGTTCTCTTTATGCGCTCCTCGACTGACGGACACTCAGGTTGTATACATCGTGGTGATGACAGTTATACCACAGTGGATCGCACGTTTGGAAATTGCTAAGAGAATTGGAATGAAGTGTTTTCAGTACATACAATAAAAGGTAGGTATGTGAGGTGATGCATGTGCTTAATAGCTTGATTCAACCGTAATGTACACATGTAGCCAAACATCATATTGTACATCATAAATATATACGAGTTTAACTTGCTCATTAAAAGGAAAGGAGGAGGGAGAGAGGAAAAGAGAGAGAAAGAGAAGAGAAAGAAACAAACTTGGGCCAGCAGGTGACACAGAGCTTAAAGTGGCTGACTGTGTGGTTTGAATCTTAGACCTAGTGACTTAGAAAACATGCCAGGGACATGTGCATGCAGGCCCAAAATCTTGACTGGAGAATGGAGGAGAAGGAATTGCAGCATGGCCATCCCCCCAGGGTGTGTGCATGCGTGTATGTATGTGTATGATTTCTCTCTCTCTCTCTCTCTCTTTCTATCTCTGGTGAGCACACATGCCCTATGGCAAAACTTAAAAAAAAAAAAAGGGACAAACTTAACAACCTCTGGGCCACTCTGAATTCATCTCCCTGCTTGTTTGCACGTTTGCAGGGGAGCGGGCAGGTATATACTTGGAAGTGAGAGTGAACTGAGTGTCAGTCCCTGCTCTGCTGTGTACATGCTCTGCATTTCTCATCTGGAAAGCATAAAACTTACTTCACAGGGGCCGGCAAGTGGTGTGGTTGTTAAGGGGCTGGACTCCCACATGGCTGACTGTGGTTCAAGTCCCAGAACTGATAGTTTGCTTTCTCACTTTCCCCCTCTCTGTGGTGTGCACCCATGCCTTACAGTAAATTTAAAAATAATAATAACAGTAAATAAAATAAATCATTCTTAAAAAAAAATAAATCGATTATAAAAAAACTTACTCAGGATCTGCAGATGGCATAATGGTTACATTCCTGGACTTCCACCAAGTAGACTGTAGTTAGAGACTCAGACCTGGTGGTTTAAAACTCATGCCAGGTGTATACGCACATGTGCCCCAAATCCCCAAAGGAGAATAGAGGAGAAGGGATTGTGGCATGGCCATCCCTCGCAACTGGGGGCTGTTATTTCTCATTTTCTGTCTCTGTCTCTTTGACAAGCACATGCACCCTATAGAAAAAATCTCTCTCAAAAAAAAAAAATCTTACTTTTTTGAGCTGTCATGAGGGCTGAGTGAAAGAATGTAAGTAGAGCAGAGGCCTGAGCACACCCTCCGAAGTGTGTAGTTCTCCCTTCAGAGACTGCAGAGACAGAGAAGAGATGAAGTGGTTACATCACAAATGGTATCCATTTGATTGCGATTTTTTATTTTATTTTTTCCAATAGCGGGACAATTCGAGTGTGGGAATTGGACCTCCCAAATAGAAAAATCTGGCCGACTGAGTGCCAGACGGGACAAATGAAAAGAATAGTCATGGGCATTGCAGTAAGTACTTTAAGTGTCATTTCAAGAAACTATGAACACATATTCTTGTAACAGTACTGACCAAGAGGTGCCTGTGTCTGTGTGTTGGGCTGAGGGTGGAAAGCTGTGGTGCGGGCATCCGATCTGGGACACTGAGAGGAAGCACAGGTGAGGGAGAGACTCACTTCCAGAGCTCCTGTCAGGAGTCGGAAAGAAGCAACCTAGACACGGAGCAGGGGTAGGTCTTGTTTCATGGGGATCTGGGCTCTCACCAGACCCCCAGCGCCTGCCTCTCCTGGAGGGGAGCATGTAGCCAGGGTGCACTCAGAGCCCACAGCGTGTTCCCATGCCACTGAGGAAACTTCTGCCACTTCTACTTCTAAGGTTTCTGACGATGAAATTCAGTGTTGAAATGCAGTCTTTTCCATAAAGACAAATTATTAACATGTTTTTAAACTTATTTTTATTTATAATAAAGTGTGCTTGTGTGCACACTTGAGAGAAAGAGAGACAGAGAAAGAGAGAGAGAGGGAGAGAGAAGCACCCTCAAGGGGTCTCATCACCCTGCGATCCCCTTTCTCTAGCCCTCCAGCTCTTCTAGATCTTGGGTACGTGCCTGCCTGGCATGTTTTCAGGCCAGCCTGGGGATCTGAACTCTTGGTGGCTGTGTGACTTCCAGCACTGCAGTTCAATTTGCGACCCACTGTGCCACCAGGCTGAGCCTATTAATATGTTTTTAATGTTGGTTCACATATTCATACCTATATTACCATTTTCCATTAACTTATTTCACTTATTTAATGTATAGTCATTTTATGAATATAGACTTCAGAAAATATCAGATATGGGCCAGCCCCATGGCCTAGTGGTTAAGGGAGCCAGAACCTACCTGGCTAATCATGGTTCAAATCCTGGCTTGAAAAACACACCAGGCACATGTGTGTGCATGCCCAAAATCTCAGTAGAAGAAATGGATGGGAAGGGATTGTGGTGTGACCATGCCCCACTGAGAGATGCTTTTTCCTTCTCTCTCTGTCTCTCTCTGGTAACCTTATGCACCATCTCACAGATGAAGAAAAAAAAAAAGAAAGAAAATGTAAGGGAAAGCAAAGGCATGGAGAAGCACACCTTTATCCTTGGAGCCCTTTGGGGTGCCTCAGGAGTGACCTGGCGGGATGTGCACGGAACGTCAGACCCGGATAGCTCCAAGTGCAACATGTGGGCTAATGGGAGTTTAATGTTTCCTCCAGTTCTACGTTAGGCCCTGATTCTTCTCCCCATCTTTGGGTCTGGGGCAATAGAAGTAGCCCTGAGTGTCTTCATAAATCTTCCTGAGGTTAAAGAGAAGGCTCACCCTGTCCATCAAAGGTTCATGGGCCTTGCCGAGGAAACCCTGGTCTTTATGTCTCTTTTTCTGTCTTCCCTAGATGGCTAACGATGATAGCTTTTTCTACCTTGGCACCACAACTGGAGACATTCTAAAACTGAACCCCAAGTCTAAACTGCTGGTAGACACAGGGCCTGCAAAGGACAAGTTCAGTTTGGTGAGTAAAGACCGTCAAGGTCTTTTCTGTCCTGCCATTTTCTTCCCTTCCCTGGCAACACAGACTTTGTTAAGAGCCAGTGTTAAAAAGAAAAGGGCTGAGGGACCAGCAGTTAGCATAATGGCTATGTCACTGGACTCCCATGTAGTCGACTGCGGTTCAAGTCCCAGATCCAGTGGCTTAAACTCACACCAGGCATATGTGTGTGCATGCCCAAGATCCCGAGAGGAGAATGGAGGAGCAGGGATTGTGGCGTGGCCATTCCCCCTGGGGGGGGGATTCTTGCTTTCTGTCTCTCTCTGTCTTTCCGGCAAGTGCATACGCCCTATAGCAAAAACCTCTCCTAAAAAAAAAGAAAAAGAAAAAGTCTGTGAAGAACCCAAGGTCATACATGAATTTGCACAGTTCACTGTCCTGGCTCATAGTGTTGGTAAAGACACCCTAAGGTATCCTTAATTAGCAAATCAGAACCACACCCTTTTTCACAGGACCTATTGCTTTGTGATTGGGAGCTATACTGATTCCGGCCCAGTTGTTGTAATATATTTTGGACTAGCTCTGCCACATAACAATTAAGTGTTGTTTATAGAAAGCTGGATCCAGGGACCAGCAGTTAGTGGAATGACTATGTCGCTGGACTCCCATGTAGTCAACCACAGTTTGAGTCCCAGACCTGGGGTCTTAAGTTCACGCCGGACATGTGCGCATGCCCAAGATCCCGAGAGGAGAATGGAGGAGAAGGGATTGTGACGTAGCCATCCCCCCTGGGGGGTGATTTCTCGCTTTCTGTCTCTCTGTCTCTGTCTTTCTGGCGAGTGCACATGCCCTATAACAAAAACCTCTCCCAATAAAAAAAAAAAAAAAATCAAAGCTACATCCCACAGGGCCGACTGCATTTCGAATCCCAGCTCCAGCAGCAAAAACATGCTGGTTGTGTATTCTTCCTGATGAGAAAGAGAAATCAATGAAAATTATTGTGTCATGACCACACCCCCACTGGGGCAGGGGAGGTTCTCCCTTTCTCTTTCACATAATTAACAACAGACAATATGTATATATATATATTTTTTTCCTATTCTAATGTGTCTTAGAATTTAGCTTCCTGATGTTAAGTCATGAATAAGACCTAGAAATAGTTGATTATTTATATTTACAAAATTCCCTTTTTTTAAAGGTATTTGCCATAAGGTTTGTGCACTTTTCAGAGAAAGCGGGGGGTGGGGAAGTGAGAAATCACCCCTCAGGGTGGATGGCCGCATCAGAATCCCTTCTCCTCCATTCTCCTGAGATTTTGAGCATGCACACGCACACACTTCTGGCATGATTTTCAAGCCACCAGGTCCAGTACTCAAACCGTGGTCGGCCATGTGGGAATCCAGCACTGTAAGCACCATGCCACCTGCTGGCCCCTCACAGAATTTCTAACAATTCTAGTTAACAATTTAGTGAGAGACTTTGATATTTAAACCAAAATAAAATGCTGACCAGCAAACGATAATTTTATATAATAAATGCTGCTATTTCCAGCCCCCCAGGAAGTTACCAGGACTGTTTCTGCTACACTGACTATGAAAGCTTGTGTTAGGTTCTGCACCTGCATTTCTCATTTCTGATAACGGAGCAGATGGTCATAACTAAGCTTAGATACTTTTTCGCTTAGCAGATATATTCTCAAGAAATTTTGAAATATTGCACCATGTGCTTGAGGAAATGTCAGAGTTTTCTTAATCGTATAATCATTTAGTTTTCAAGCTTATAAGGAGATCCATACAAATGGGGAACAGCTATAACATGATGTGCTTTGAAAAGCTCATGGAGGGAACCAGCAGTTAGCGTAATGGCTATGTCGCTGGACTCCCACGTAGTCAAACGCAGTTCGCGTCCCGGACCCAGTGGCTTAAAACTCACTCCGGGCATGTGTGCGTGCGTGCCCAATATCCCGAGAGGAGAATGGAAGAGAAGGGATTGCGGCGTGACCATCCCCCCAGGGGGTGATTTCTCGCTTTCTATCTCTATGTCTCTGTCTGTCTGGCGAGCGCACGCACCCTATAGCAAAAATATCTCTCTCTCAAAAAAAAAAAAAAAAAAAAAGCTCATGGAGGGACCAGCAGATGGTGAAAGAGTTAAGTCACTGGACTCCCATGTGGTCAACTATGGTTTGAGTCCTGGACCTGGTGGCATAAGCCTCATGTTAGGAACGTGCACGTGTGTGCCCAAAATCCTGAAAGGAGAATGGAGGAGAAGGGATTGTGGCATGACGATCTCTCCTGGAGGGTCATTTCTCACTTTCTTTCTCTGGTGAGCACACGTGCCCTAAAGCAAAAATCTCTCTTAGAAAGAAAGAAGAAAGTTCAGAGAAAAATGAAGTTAGAGTAAAAGTTTATTTAGAAAAGTTCAGGGAAAAATGAAGTTAGAGTAAAAGTTTATTTTGGTGCAAAATTTTTGAAATCCATGTATAGTTTTTTTTTTTAATATGCATTTTTCACGAATTTTCTGAAGACTGTTCATTGGATAGAGAAGATCAGAAATAATCCCACAGGAGATCTGTCTGTATGTAGCTTACATCAATGTGTTTCAAATTTCTGGGTTGTCGGAAAAGTCGTGATGCATTTTTGCACAGAAAAATAATGTCATGACTTTTCCAACAACACAGTATTCCAGGAACAGAATTCCAACATATTAAACAGATAAAATCAAAGTGGATCAGGTTAAGAGAGGGCTAGACTTGAAGCTCTGATAGTTCCCAATCTGGAGACTTGCCCAAAGGCTCCACAGAATAGTACTTGGACCTAATGGTCTGTGTAGTTTTGTCTTCCCAACACCTGAAAACTATTGATAAATACCTCTTTTTAATTCTTCTTTCTTTTTTTTTTTTTTTAGAGAGGTTTTTGCTAGAGGGTGTACTTGCCAGAGAGACAGAAAACAAAAAATCACCCCCCACCCCCAGGGTGATGGCCATGGCCCAAGCCCTTCTCCTCTCAGGATTTTAGGCACGCATGCACACGCACCTGGTGTGAGTTTTAAGCCGCCAGATCCGGGACTTAAACTGCAGTCTACTACATGGGAGTCCAGCGATATAACCATTACGCCATCTGCTGGTCCCAATAAATGCCTCCTGGGAAAAGACATTGGTTGTTTTAGTGTTCCTTTGGCACTTAGGGCTGCTATGGGTGCTCTTAGTCCTAACCATTCAGTTCTGGTGGTAAATTCTACAAAGCAATATTTCCAAGACACATTTTATATGGATGAAAAGAAAATGATGCTAGTGGGATAAAGAGATTCCTGAACATGTTTGGTTTGAATGTCAAGTGAGCTTGGACAGTTACCTATTTTGAAATTCTACTTAGATGTTTGTTCTATGGTTAGATACTGGACTGGAGTGGTTTAACATGGACTTATTAGGCATCATACACTAAAATGAAGAAGAGGATGATGACAATGCTAAGAATTTCAACAGTACATATTGACCACGATCTGTACAGCAAAACCACAGAACTCTGATGGAGCCAATCAAAGAACTACATACTATTTATTTAAATTGCCACAGAGTGTGTGTACTCACTAGACAGAGAGAGATAAAAGGGTGGGGGGAAGCACCTCCCCAATGGGTCATGTTGCAATCCCTTCTCCTCCATTTCTCCATCCTGCTGGGATTTTGGGCATGCACACATATGGGCCTGGGGTGTTTTTAAAGATCCTGGAGCCAGGATTCAAACCGTGTTTGGCCATGTGGGATCCAGCTCCCTTAACCACTAGGCTGTGTGGTTGGCCCCCAAAGAACTACATAAGTAAGAGAGTTCTGGATAGGAAGACTCAATGTTGCCAAGGTAACAGTTCTTCTCAATTTGATCTGTGGATTCAATATAATGTCTATCAAAATCCCAGAAAGTTATTTTGTAGTTATGGAAAAACCAATTCTAACTTTTATATGAAGAAGCAAAAGACACAGAATAGCCAACAGAATATTGAAGAAGAACAACGTTGAAAGAGTGACACTAAGATTTACTCAAAAGCTGCAGCCACCAGGACAGGGTGGTGCTGGTGAGACAGCAGATGAATATGTAGGTCAACTGCATAGGATAGAAAGTCTTGGACTAGACCCACATATATTCAGCAAGTGACCTTGGACAAGGGAGCAGAGGCCATGCAATGGAGAAAAGGTCATCTTTTCGATAAATGTTTCTGAAACAACTGGACATACATATGCAAACAAACAAACAAAAGTGAATGTAGATATAGATCTTACACCCTTCACAAAAATTACCTCAAGATGAATCAAAGACCTAAACGTAAAATATAAACTCCTAGAAGACGACATAGGAGAAAATTTAGATGATCTAAAGTTTAGAGATATCTTTTCTTTTTCTTTTTTTGGAGAGGTTTTTGCTATAGGGCACATGTGCTTGCCAGACAGACAGAGAGACAGAAAGCGAGAAATCACCCCCCAGGGGGGATGGCCACACCGCAATCTCTTCTCTTCCATTCTCCTCTCAGGATCTTAGGCACGCACACACACGTGCCTGGCGTGAGTTTAAGCCACTGGGTCCGGTACTCGAACCGTGGTCGACTACGTGGGAGTCCAGCGACATAGCCTTTATGCTAACTGCTAGTCCCAGTGATATCTTTTTAAATACAGTACCAAAGGCATGATCCATGAAAGAAAGAATTGATAGGTTGGACTTAAATTTTCTTCTTTTTTTTTAAAAAAAAAAAATTATTGGGGACCAGCAGTTAGCATAATGGCTATGTCGCTGGACTCCCACGTAGTCAACCGTGGTTTGCGTCCCGAACCCGGTGGCTTAAAACTCACGCCCGGCGCGTGTGCGTGCGTGCCTAAGATCCCGAGAGGAGAATGGAGGAGAAGGGATTGCGGCGTGACCATCCCCCCTGGGGGGTGATTTCTCGCTTTCTGTCTCTCTGTCTCTCTGTCTTTCTGGCGAGTGCACGAACACTATAGCAAAAACCTCTCAAAACAAACAAATAAATAAATAATTCTTTAA